AACCTCCTTTCTGATACGCTTTGGAAGACTTCATAATCCTTATGATATTGAGGCGGCCATATCATGTTGCTCTTCTGACGCAAACTCTCTTCATGGCCTTCCCAAAGTTCGTTTTCTGGCTGCACAAGCCTGGATATTGGCCGCATCCCTCGTCAATCATGCATCTCTACTAGCTGCCTATAGTTGTGCGCTCAATCTCGTGCCGCTTGTGGTTTGGCTAGGGCTTCCTATAGCAGATCGACACCAGCATCTCGTTGAAGTTGGTGGAATGGCTCGAGAGGCAGCTGCAGCGGCAATTTCGGCTGAGAAGCACGAGAAAGCATTAGAATGGCTGGAACAGGGTCGCTCAATTGTCTGGACACAAATTCTTCAGCTTCGGACTCCGACCGATCACCTGCGCGAGGTTGCCCCACACCTTGCTGAACGCCTTTTACAAGTTTCTCGACTATTGGATCGTGGATCTCAACCGAGTCAGTTTCCCGAGAGTATCGAACCTACCACTGAAGAAGAAAAAGGGCGACAATATCGTGCACTGACGGCAGACTGGGAGTCAATCATCAAACAAATTCGGTCAATTTCAAATTTCGAAACCTTCTTGCAACCTCCAAACTCATCTAAACTGGTGAATGCTGGTCGCAATGGCCCTGTGATCATTTTAAATATCACTAAGTTACGATGCGATGCACTGGCACTTTTGCCAGAACTTGAAGATGTGATGCATATACCTTTACCGTGTGTCACATTGGAGAGAATCGCTGAACTTCGAGACGAATTAAAGGGTCAACTTTTCGCAAGTGGAATTCGAATGAGGGCTATAAGAGCGGCAAAGAAGCTAGCCGATGAACCAGAATACGAAAGCTGCGGAGAGATTCTTGCCGAACTTTGGACGAATTTGGTCAAGCCCGTCCTAGATGCACTAGCGTTCTCTGTAAGATCGTTTCACTTATTTACAGTTCATATTGATGATAGATCCTACAGTCTCACCCTGACCATCTTCCACGGATCTGGTGGTGTGCCACCGGACCGCTCGCCTTTCTTCCAATACATGCAGCAGGAATATATGGTCCAGACTCGGGAGAAGAGCAAATCAGTAACTATGTCATATCTTCATATATACCTACACTCTCCACACTACTCGATCAACCTAAACCTTCCGTTAGCTCTTCTTTCAGCCTGTTATCAGTCATCCAGTCATCAGCTCCAGGTGCATCGTCTATTCCCAACACCAAGCAAGAGCTGGGACATATACACCAATGGCTTGCAGGTCGAGATCATGTCGTACTTGAAGGTTCGGCAGGTACAAAGAGACGGGTGATGAAGAGTATGGAGGAGTGCAACTGGATCCATCTCGCGTGTCATGGTATCCAGAGACCCGACGAGCCGACGAAAAGTGCGCTCTTGCTCGATGATGGTCATCTTACCCTTGAGGAAATCATCAAGCTTGACCTTCCCCAGGCGGAGTTTGCGTTCCTGTCGGCATGCCAGACGACGACTGGGGATGAAAACCTGTCGGAAGAAGCGGTTCACATCGCCGGTGGAATGCTGTTAGCTGGTTATCGCGGGGTGGTAGCGACAATGTGGTCGATTCAGGACGAACTCGCGCCTATGGTGACGGATGAGTTCTATCGACATATCATGGAAGAAGGAAAGAGACCTGACCCTAGGAAAGCGGCAGAGGCGTTGCATATGTCAGTTCAAAAGCTTCGCCAACAGCCAGGGGTTCACCTCACAGACTGGATTCCATTCGTTCATCTTGGCGTTTAACTTCGGAGTGAGGAAGTGAGTGGCTATACGTCCATCGTCCATAATAGTTTCCCTCTGACTGTAAATGATTAGAAGCCTCAAAGAAAGGCCCACACCAATATCCCGACTTTGCTGGGGGCTCGAACCTCCCATGCACTTTCAAACACGTATATGTTACCAAAGTTCTTTAATACAAAACCGTCACCGCTGCTAAGTCTAAAATAAGCAGTATTTATGAATCGAAACGGCCCATTATCGTATTTACAGAAGCAGAGCCTGTCTCACAATCGTAAAGTTTTGGCAACCAAGAAAGATCCGTGAAAAGCGACATCAGCATTAGAATTTAAATGGCAATTCATATAGAGCTCACAAGAGCAGAGATGTACTGCTCAATTAGTGGCAGGGGTTAAAGTGTGTGAAAGGAAGTTCATTTGTATGCCAGATACTGTAACAAGCTCGGCAGTAAAGCCATAGATTAAGGAAGAGTGATAAATAGAAGAAGAGGAGTTTGTCTCAGACAAGTAAAAGGGATAGGGTAAATGGAGCCGAGTGACAGCAGATGGCGGAAGGAAAGCAAGAAAATTACAAAGCGAATGCATACGCTTTTTCTGGATCTTGTTTATCAGGGTTATATCGACCAATTCAATCAAATCTCCATCTCCGCTTGTAATAGTCTCGTTATTGGTTTAGGTCTTGACGCCTGCGCCTGTACCCCTTTGACTCGGTCCAAAAGAGTCAAGTGTGGGGCTCTTTATTGGCGGACGATCCGCGAAAGGATCCTCATTATCGTACGATCCAAAAGAAGTGGGCCGTTTTTCCGTCGTGGGTTCACTTCGACTGGAGTATAGGATATTGAAATTGGTACCAGAGTGCCGAGGGCGGGGAAGAGCGAAAATTGGGGAAGGTAGGAGGTC